AAATGAGTTCCTTTACAAATAAGATGATGTCAATTGTCATATTTTGACAATATTGTATGAACTTGAGAGTAGACTGGCCTTTAAATATCCAATAGCTAAGTTTCGCCAATAATAAATTTTTTTAAAAACTAAGCAATATAGGCGCTCTTAAGGCCCATGTTTCTAAGCGGATACATTAATTAATATGAAGCGAATGCTAACTAAAAGAAGAAAATATTGCATCACAAAAGCAAGATACTCCGATAAACTATTGGCTCATACCTGCCAATTCTCCGTAATCCAGAGGTGCCGGGAAAGAAAATTATCCTGCTGATTTGTGCCAAGACCATCCCATTGAGACTGCGACAGGCCGAATCGACGACGAGTCAAGTAGATTTTCTCTTCCAGGCCATATTGGCGTCTCATTAATGCAAAAAGCAAGACCCAGCGACAGGCCCAGTAGACAAATCGACAAGTGGTGTAAGGTAAGCAGACAAGGTTCATAGCCAAAGTGCGACGGAGACTGGGCCTAGTACAATCGCCACTGATAGGAGATAGGAAGTAGCGGAATTAAAACACATTTTTTTTTGCAAATTTACTTTGTCTTGGAATAATAGCATATAATATCAAGGTCTCTGTAGTAGTGAAGATTTCATCAAATAAAATAGCCCCAAATTCATAGGAATCAAGTTGTTGTCTCCTTTCTTGCCTTCGTGTTTTTGGTGAATTATCGTTAACCATGGTGTCCTGCTCTGACGATATCCGTCACATGACGGAAGAAAGCTCAGCAAGGATTCTTCGGGGTCGCAGGGCGGTTCGCCGAGGACCTATTCATACAAATCTACAACCACAGCTCCAAGGCAACCCCCCCAACCTCTGGTGGAACCAACTGACGAATCCTTTCCACTCACTTCCTCAAATGAAATGAAAGCTACTCCATCATAGGAATCAGGTTGTTGCATATGTGCAATAGTTGAGACTTTCCGCAATGCTATAAAAAATATTCATTTGGTGTATTGTCATAATGGGCTCAAAGTAAGATAAGTTGATTTGCTATAAAACTAAGCAAAAAAGGTCGACGCAATTTGATGAACAAGTGAACTTAATTTACACTTCAAATTTCTTTAGTTAAGGGGAATATAACTTAATTTGCAAATAAAGCGAAGCTGATAAATCAAATAAACAAGTGCTGGAGAAGTGCTGTTATGCGAAAGAGACGTCACAATGGGATCCTGCAGAGAGGCGCATGGAGACACGGTGTTGATTTGAAGTCGGTCTGATAGAAATCCTTTTCCCTAGTGAGTGGCAAAAGGGTACTATAGTCGAGGGCTCAGATACAGAGTATTCGTAGGGCTCTGGTTTGAATGTTAGGTGAAGGCGGTCGTCTATATGCGAAGGTTCAACTGGCATTACGATGGCGCAGAGAAGCAGCGTACATAGAAGTAACAAATAGGCGACCCAATCCAAGAAGCGACGCGCTTCGACTGTCGTTCAGGGGAAGATCTATTTAAACAAACATACTCGGTAGAGGCTAAGAGGTTGGAACCGATTCTTCTTGCGCTCGGAGCCGAGTGTCGAGAGTAGCAACAAGCGAAATGCTATGGAGAATGCAAAGTGAGATGTGAGGCTGAAGTGGAGTGCGATGAGCAGCGCAAGCGAAGACATCGCCAGCCCGAGAATAGTAATCCTGTGTGGAACTAGATTTAGTCATATGTTTTCCTTACCAAATATTTTGCAGGATGTGAATATTGGATTCCGAACAGTATAAGACAATTGATTCAGCCTTGTGTGAGGGGGCCAAGTCTTGAAAATCCAACTACAGGATGAAATCAAGCTAACGAGAATGTGGTTAATCGAATGTAAGAATGCATGAACCAAGATAGGAAGGGGATGAAGGCAGTGATTTAGCTGAGGTTAGGTCGATGGCCAAATAAAAGTGCAGAGGTGACACAGCTGGCGTCATGCTACAGGCTAAACCGTTGTAGTGAGGAGCTGTAGGGCTGAGTGAAATTGAGACAAATCCCTCCTAGAAAAAATACGGAGGAATTGTGCAGACAAACTTTGAAGACACTTCCAGAATAACCTCCCCAATTATCAGGTTGCTGAAAATTCGAGATACCTGTAGGTCGATAGCTCTATCTATTTAAGAGATTATAATTGTGGCTATTTTACTTATGTAAATAAAGCAATAAAATAATTCAGCAAGATAAAGCCAATACAATCTTGGAGATAATATTAACATATCAGTCTTGAAGGAGCGAAGAAGTCTTATTGTCAGGGTTGATTATAGGAACGCACTGTTCGGAGCACATAGTATCCATGATAATATCCAGCCTCGGACTGTGGACTTGGTACACTCCCAGACGTTTCGCTGGCATCGTCGAAAAGCTGAATATCATTAACACTTGCCAGAGACAAGTAAAACTGATTCTTTGACTAATTGTCGCTCAACGGTTGTGGTATGCCTATTTTTCGCCATACTAAAGGCCACACCATCTTAGTCTCTACACCTTCGATTAATAACCTTATCTTTATCATACTTGCTGTCCTATAAAACAAACGCCTTTAAATTATTTTTTAAACTTTCATTCATGGACTCACTAAATTATTCTCATTGTGGATTTAGATAAATCATCAACAATATGTTGTAACTTAAAAAAATCGTGGACTTTGTTAACCCGAACGCCAAGATAAGGTCAAACGAATGGAGAAGCACTGGAAACTGACACTTTCTGGTGAGGTCAACTAACGAATATCTTAATCAAGCACTTTCACAAAAATAGAAAGTGCATTGAACAATAAAATATCAGAAAATTCATTTTTAAGTAGTCACATTGTTAATACAGAAAATCACTTCCCTAGAGAATATTGTAATATTTTAATTACATGGAGCAAAATATATTGAGAGGAATCGTGAGAAAAAATAAATGAGTGCAAAAGGCTATATTGTGGTATTCAAGCAAATTTTTTAAAAGAAGACAATTTTGTTGAAAACAAATAATATTGACTTTCTCTGAGAAATTTGTCATGGAATCAAGTTGATTGCAAATCCAACTAAGTAGGCTTGTGAAAAGTGTTGATTTATCTTTCATGGAAACGTGAATATTCCATTTACTTAATACTGGCAATTGTTTTTGAGTTAGTTTGCAGGAAGGTAGGCATATCCAATTATGTGAATCCTTCATCGTCATTACTGTTCTTTCATAGTCCCCGTTCTGCAATCGACTTTTCACGGCCCGTATGTTTCTTTTTATCACTTCAATTGGGTAGCCATTGCCGATCAATATCCTAGTCAATTTGTCCAGCTCCTAGGCTTCGGATGATCATGCTCCTCATGATTCCTATTTTTAGCTTCTAATTGTGATGGGTTTGGAAATTCAGTATTATCCCAGCATAGGACTTCTTTCTGAACAATTTATTTTTGAGCGTCCCATTAGAGCGAATCACTTCAACCTCCAGGAACGGTAACCGCTCACATTCCTCTACCTCCATCGTGAATTGAATTTTTTCATCAATCTGGTTTACAAACATCAGAAAGTCTTCCAGTTTTTTTCTTCCATGTGACCAAAGTGCGAAGTAATCATGCAGGTACCACATGAGCACTGCCGGTTGTAGCGGTGCCATCTTGAAGTTCTCTTCTATTTTGTTCATACATACGTTTGCCAAAAGTGATGAAGCGCGATCCCATGGGAAGTCCAAATATTTGTTCATAGATGTTCCCGTCGAATGTAAAATACGTTCTCCTTATTGTCAAGTTGATTAGTCCTGTTAACGACTCCCTCCTGATCCATTGTGATTTCAGAATATCCTCCTCTCGGTGCAAGATTTCCAGCAGGGCCGTTCGTGCATTTTATCCAGAGATATTTGTATACATGGATTCTACATCGAAACTTACCAATAAGTCCGTTTCTTTCAGTGCCATATTTATTTTTTTGAGGAAATTCATATGAATGTTTCACAGTGTTTGATAGCCTCTCATTTAATTTCTTGAGTTGCAAACATATGAACTTTGCCAATTTGTGTGTTGCTCCATACCTGTTGTTGACTATCAGCCTTAGTGGCTCGGTAATCCGTATGCTGTTGGTGGTCGTGCATCCTTTCTTATGATTGAATTTCTTGTCTGTGTCAAGTTCCCTATTCCTATGCATATCTTTCAGCATGGCACTTAAGATTCCATTGATCTTCATAGTTAGGTCCTTATTTAGTATACGATATGTGGTCCTGTCGCGTAGAATTTGTTACATCTTCTA